CCCCCCCCCCTGCTCCGAGTTCTACATGTGCAAAACACGCGTACTGTAGTTAGGCGAAGCCTTTGGCGGGACGACGATTTTCATTGGTGGACGTTTATCCGGTATTTCGCGTTGTGAAAGTGGTGTATTTGCCCAGTATGGCGTGTTAACGAGTAGTGTCTGGCACTGACGTTGCTTGGGCCTACGTGTTCGGTTTGTGTTCGTGCACCAAACCCTAACGACCGCTTGATGACCGCTTCGAATACTTGCACAGCCTGCCAAGTCCCGGTATTGTTTTGTCGCTGTAAGCATGCTTACGTCGTCCTTCTTTGGCTTGTGCCCGAGTTATACCGCCTTCACCGCAGCCCTCTGCCTTTAACTGCGCGGGAAAATGCCAACGGCACCACTTGTTTCCAAATCTACATCTCCCGTGTGCGTAGGGCCCACGCGAGTGCCATAGAGAGCCGCCTCGGAGTGGCCGCGGACTCGTGGAGTTCAGCGGGAGACGATGGCGTTTTGGAGGGGTATACTCAAAGCCATCCCCGTGTCCCCGAGGAGTGCGAAGCGCCTGTGAGGTGAGGCTCGGTTTGCGGGTGAAGGCTGGCGCCCAAACAAGTTCCGACGACCGATCTTCGTGTTTGTTCGTCGGGTCCAGACTTAAATCCTGTGGTCATCGTTTCTGCCGAATGGCGAAGCTGATCCGTGGTCGTTCCTTGTTGTTGTCGAAAGGGCCGTACGTAGCTCACGCGCAAATCACTCGACTGCGGTACGCGGGGCGCCACCCGCTTGACCCGGAGATGCCGCGCGAGACAAAGGGTCTAAACACCTCATGCCGTTCGTTTGCACACCTTGTGTACCACCGGGGAGATGAAACTATTGACAGTGAGAAGCCAATAATAATCACGAGGCACGGTTTTCACTGTTTGTCCCCCCGAGGTGGGGACCGTATTAGACATAAGATAAAACACCCCCTCGACCAATGTTCGAAGCTCGATTTCTTAACTGCAGGAACAGTCACAGCGCCGAAAACGGCGGCGTTGAAACTGTCTCGTCGAGAGCTTTTCGAAAATGTATCGTTTCGTTTATGCATCCTCTTCGTCGTGGAGTAATCGAGCTTTGAGTATCGGTCCAGGGGGTGTGTTATCTTGTGTCATGTACGGTAGCCCGGATGCCCAATAAACCAATGGCATTTCTGGTTTGGTGAGCAAACGCAAGGATGATGACCAGCTTCTGGCCCATCCATCTGGTGAACAAACGCAGCCTGGGCCGGCGAAAAAACGGCATATATCGCTGCATGCCGGCACTACAGGGATGCGAGGCCAATCGTCTGTCGACTACGACATGCGATAGCATGAGTCCACCACCCCGCCCTCTACGGGTACCCCCCCCCATGGCGCGCTTGGCACGGCGGTATAGCCGTACACACGAATATCGACAAATGAGGGAAAACACACGGGTTTCCGCTCCCTTCAAGTCGTTCTGCTTTCCCCCCCGCACGACTATTCATGAGTACCCCCCACACACACGCCCCGCTCTTTCGTGCTCCCCTTCCATGTATTACCTCTCCCCTTATCAATCAGGGTCGGCCTCCCCCGGTGCCACTCCGCGCTCAAGCCCGGCGTGTGGCACACCCTCTCCGTCCACGCGGACCACATGTGGACCAACGTCGACGAGGCGTACACCTGCCAGGTCTTCGAGCGCCTGGCCCTGACGCTCCTCGGGCCGGTGGTGGTGATGATATCAAGAGAGTCTGATTCTGCCTCACTCACTTCGCTTTCGTAGCAGCAGCGGCCGGGCCGTCGTGATGCTGCCACCCCTGTCCGGAGGAGCGCTCGCCTGCTAGCCAAGGCGCGACGAGCGCACATAGACCCGCAGCGGGAGGGGACTACGACGATCTGATCTGAGTCTGCGGACGCGCAGGACTATGCGACCTGTCGCGGTGGCAGTAGTGTGCCTGTAGCGGCGCCTGGGGAAGCGGAGCGCACAGAGGGGAGCGGGGTTCGCTGCGGACTTTGTGCAACAGGGAGGACAGCGACAGCGGCGGTTGGTCTCGATGGGGTGCCGTTTGAGAAGAAGGCCTTTCACCCGAGGTTGTGGAGGGCGTTTTGTGCGTGGCCGTTCTTGCGGCGTTGCTGCTCTCGTTTCTGCTTTTTTTTGCCATGCCGAACGGCGCCACCGATTGCAAAAGCGGCGCCGGCGTAGCGGATGAAGTATTTGTTCCGAGAACATGTTCTTCAGTTTCGGGTTCTGTTGGTCTTGTGGAGGGTCGAGCATCCTCCGGCATCGATTTTGATTCCCCAGGTCTAGCGGGGGTCTGATGTTCTCGGTCGGCAATGGTGATATATCGGAGTAGGGTGTATATTTGTTGGGTGCTGCGGGTGCAGCTTTTGCCGTGGTTTGTTTGTGGACTGGTGCCGTGTCTGTGTGTGTGTTGTTTTGAGGTCTGTCTCAGCATGTTGTTTCGAGGTCTGTCTCGGCTTGAGGCGGTAGGTAGTGTTGTGTTGCAATGTATCATGTGCGTGGTGGATGGCCGTACTTGGGGACCAAAAAACGGAAAATACCGTGTTATGAAACCGTTCGACATGTGTGCCAAGTTTAGTGATCGACCTTACTTCGGTCAAAATACCGAAATCTTGTGTGGTGATACGGTTCAACATGTGCAAAATTTTAGCCATGAATGAGTGTGGTGGACTTCGCGACGTTTCTGCAATTAGTAAATGTCCCGCCCTCTCACGAGTCGCTTTAGTGTGTGGAGCTCAAGCTGAGCAAGGGAAGAGCAGGCGGGTCGCCAAAGCAGTTGGCATGTTAACACATACTTCGTATTGCCTTTGCTGTCTGTCGCTCCTACTTGTCTTCGTGGCTTTCAGAGTGAGTGGCTGTGTACGCGATGGGGTTGCGGCGGGGTCCTGCATTTCGCCCATCAAGCTTACAAATAGGATCCAGTCACCCATTGATCTGAGGGTGGGAATCATTTGCGGAAGGACGCAAAAGCATGTAGTTAAAAGAGAGGTCCCGAGGACAGGTTCTTTCTGTTATTATGAAGAGGATCGGCTTGTTCGTTGTCCGAATTACTCCGAGCATAACGAGGACGGTGTGGGCGACCCCATCCTGAGTATAGACTCGTAAGAGTCTATCCCAGGACGCGAGAACGTTACCCGCACCCTGGGGTCCGTGTTGTGGGATAAAACGAAGGTTTGGATGTCCGTCTCTAAACCAGGAAGCAATGCCAACAAAACAAAAAGCCCCCAAAACGCTGCTGATCGTCTGCGGACCTCATTTAGGCCACAGACTACGCACAATGTACTTCACATATTACAACATCAGTTTCGTCGGAATGATGGATCACCAGTGTAAGACGGTGTGTGGTAGGCGCTCCATTTGTCAGATGTTGCCCCGAACAACAGTCTTACTCAGTCCTTCCCCTAGGTGGTGATGTGTTCCTGTGGTAAGTTGCGCTACGCGATGCATGACGCACATGTCTGTCGGATATCTAGACTATGTAGATACGAAATACCGTCCATGACACAGCGAGCTTAGCCGCTATCTGGTACAAAAGTCACCAGATACCCCGTGGCTTTTGCAGCTCCGCAAGGGTCTCTGTTTCTCTACATCTGCCGGATTCTCTTCTGATATCGTCTTGTGATCGGCAGCTATGCATACGCCAGGCCGGGGCTGGGTCTTGAGGGAGTGTTCGCATGATCCGGGGTGGTGCGATTAGCGATTCTCATTTTGTGTTTCCGTTACATGAACAAAACCTCGATTGGTTACGAACCAAAACGCCTATTTACGAACATGGTTCTTTTTTTCTTTGTCCACCTGCGGTCCGCTGTGCCGTGGCAAGACGCCCACTCATACCCTCCCCTCCCCCACCCCCTCATCGAACCCTCTTCTCGTGTATCCAACACCCACCTACTCCTTGAAGGCCGGCTCTAACCCGACGTTCCTCAGCCCCAAGTGCCGCACAAGGTCGAAGTCGACCGTGCTATCGATAAGCTCTGAGCGATACTCAACTGCCCGACCCATATTATTCCAGGTTTTTTGGGGTACTCCTTACGGCGATATCACCAGGACGAGAGATGGAACCTCCCCCTTTCGTAGCGTCGGACGATCCCTGTGCTGGTGCCGACCGTGCAGGAGGCACGGAACCTCCCCGTAATGTCAGCGTCTCCATGTACGTCCGCGAGATAGTGTCCGGAGCGTGCGCTGTCTTTGAAGAGGCGCCAGCGGTTGGCCTCGTCTGCAAGACCTTGCTCTCTCTGGAAAGGCTTGTGTTTACAGCCAAGGGCAACCGCAAAGAATTGGCCGTGCTGCTCGAGCTGTGCGACGTGGTCACCAGGGGCGCTCTCAACCAGTGGGTGATGGCCTCCGCCGATGGCCCCGGCGTCTCGGAAGGCGCGGCGGCGCTGCGGAGGCACGTGGAGGGCGCCAAGAGGGTGGCTGCGATGTGCAACAAGGGCAAGATCGCGAGGTTCGCTCTGGGTAGAAAGATATCCCGATCGATCGTGTCCGTCAAGACCAACGTCGTCAACTTCGCCACCGTCCACAACCTGTCGCTCAGTGCAGGCCTTCATGTGAGAGTAGGGCAATGTAGTGAACGTGCATGCGCGTGTGTATTTGTCGCAGGAGAGGCGAGACGAGCTAAGGCTTAACGTAGTGCAGCCATGAGGAACGAGGAACAGTCTTCTTTTGCACATGCAGCTCTGGAAGGTACCGGAGATGTCGTAGAACATGATGATCTGTCGTTGTGTTTTTCCTTTTCGTGTGCGTCAACGGCATTTCGTTTTTCCCCAGTCAAAAAAACATGCCACGCGTAGTCTATCGCTGTACCCTCTATGCTATACAGAAGATTCTGCTGCTGTTTGAGGTTGTTTGTTGCGCCCACTCCTCGGTGAACGTCGCGGACAGGGCCCGCATTCGCTGCCTGTCCATCATGGGCGGATGGGCGGTCCTTTTCTGCCCCATGCCGAATTGGCACCATTCTCATCTGCTGTAATTTAGCTACAGAATTGCAGTTTGAAGTATAAAGCAAGCCGCATGCATTCATGAGATACTGAGCGAGAGAGACAGGAGGGTGCGCATGTATTTATACAGTGTTATCGAAAGAGATACATGGTGTACATATATTTATGTTGTATTAGTCTGTTGTGCCACCGGAGGAGATAGAGATCGAACAACCAGCCGTTCATGTCTGCTGCTGTGTTGCCATCTTTCGGCCGAACATCCATCAGGTCAAACTTGCAGACATGGAAAAGGAGTTAGCAGCCAAGGAGAGAGAGAGGCAGCAAGCCTTGGATGCGGCCGCAAAAAAGGCTTCTGCTGATGCCGCCTTGGGTAGCCAGGTGAGCGTCGGGCCGGTTGTGCGTCGAAAGGCTAGGAAGGGAAGAGACTGATTGAGTGCATTGAGGCCAGAGAAAGATGCAAGATACAACTTGTCTTGGTAAAACGGAGAACGCATGAACGCATCGCATGGGGGGGTATCAAGAGCGGAAGAGGTTTCGCTTTGGTTCGGGTTGTGGCCAAACACCGTTACTAGCTCCACGTCGTTGTTAATTCTCATCACGTAACGTCGTTTATTTGTTGTCTCGTTCTTCTCGATGTATGTGCGTTCGTTCGCTAGCTTGCTGCTGGCTTGTGGTAATCGCTCGTTGCCACTTGTTCTTGCTATCGTTGGGGTAGACTACAGCGTAGTTTTATTTGTTTTCGTGTTTCCCACTCCATGCACATGAAAAATATATTATCCGCTCACACGAAACGCAGCATTCATTCAGTCACACAGTCAGTCACACGAGAGAGACCACGTCGGCACTGCTGCTCTTGGACCTGTTGCACACAGAGAGCTGCACTGCCTCTGTTGTACGAGGATCAGTAACAACACCACTGGGTGTCGGGTCCCTACTGAAATAACCGCCATGCTAGCTTTTCCATCATTTTTCTTCCATGAGTGAAGGGTATCGGGCGGCTTAATAGGGCCTACAAATAGAGCAAAAACTCCTTTCGAGCAGGGGGGCGAGAACCCTGCCAGCCTAAACCTACTCCAGCCGTGCTCCCCTGTTGTTGCGGTTGCGAGGGATAGAGAACGTATTTTCACTACTCTTCTAGTTCTGGTCAATACACAGCAATCGAAGGCCCGGTTGGCTTTGCTGGCCTGGGCAAGACCGATATTTTGCCCCACCTGTGTGCGCAAGGTTTCTCGTTACCATCCCCTACACTTCTTCATAGAGCCCTTGGTAACTACAGTATATATCTGACGTGCACAGCACAGTCCTCCCTCATTCCCCATCAACAACCCCGCCCGTGTCTCCGCCCGAACCCAACATTCTCCCACCAACAATCGTTCGCTGAACTAAAAAATCACACGGCAGTACCGAGTCGTGGGCTTAGTGAAGAGGCTGGGATCGTCGGCTTCCGAGCGAGCCCTAAGCGTGCTGGACTGGTGCGACTTCCAGCGGCAATCGTCGTCTTCGATGGTGAAGGCCTGCGGCAAACGATTCCGCAGCGGTAGGCCGGAGCTGTACCTGATGGGCGGCGTGCTCCTGGCGACGGCGGCGGCGGCGGCTTGCGGCCAACACGGCCTCCTCAAGAGGCGACCGTCGTGATTGAAAGATATATTGTAGCATGGAAATAGTGGTGACTTCGAGTGTGAGCTGTTCGGACTTGGGAGACCGCAGCTGGCAGCGGGCAGCTGATTTGCACCAGCACGTGCTTTACTTTCATCTTGCATCGCGCCTTGATAACAATACTGCTTTGCTTTGTTGAGCCCACTCCGGAGGCGCTAATTGTAAAATAGTGATCACGTTTGTGTTGGATTTTGGAGCCCAAGCTATGTAGTACCGCTCTGTCCACGCGGCTGGTCCGCCCGCGGGTGGACGGATGGGGGAAGAAACAGCCTGTCTTGCGCCATTTTTTCCACTTTTCGTTGGTGGTGCGATGATCGTGATGTTTTGTCGAAACACGAGGGTGTTCTCCAAGATTTTCATAAAATAGGTAAGTTTTGTGCAGGTATGCATTGAACCGTTCTGTGAGTGTGTGTCGGTGATTTTTTGCTGTTTGCTGTTGGATCTCTCATGATGTGCGCAATTTTTATCTGTGTCTTGTGTTCGTTTGACCACGCTTGCTTGCGCACCAGGCCGTGGCAGGCGGGGATATCGATCCAAAAACAATCGAGAAACGTTTTGCATGAATCCATGAAGAAGTGAGGGTTCCTTGTTTAATTTTTTGGGTGTGAGAATGAAATTGGAATGAAGTGGCTGAAGAGTCGCACGCTCCCAAAGTCGTGTCTTATTCAGAGGGTATGCAAGCCCCTCGTCCTCGCGCGGTGTCTGAAAAACCGCAAAATAAGTACAGCAGTGTGAGCAGTAAAAAAAGGAAGTGTTTTTGAAAAGATAATGGGCGGTGTTGTCGTGCGTGGGGCTCCGGAGGTCGTTCTCTTGAAAGAAACACCTTTCATTTAGGAATGGATGTATATGCGTGAAGTCACCGAAACAATGAAAAAATGGCCGAAAGCAGCTGAGCGGCTTGGACGCTCGTCGTCAGGAAGCAAGTTTGGTTGATGCGCGGCGACGCATGCCAAACAACGGGCGTGGGCGTGGTCAAGTAAGGACCTCCCACCCCCCGCTGCGAAGACAACGCAGGGGTAGTAAGCACCATTCGATGTGGCTGGTGAATACAAGTGATGCAGACGTTGCGAGGTTGGTTCCCCCTCCCCCGCTTACGGTCCCTACCTTCTTGGTACCCCGAACCTAGTATTAATTAGTACACACCAGCTCAAGGCTTGACCTACTCATGGGCCCGTTCCGTTCATTTTGTTCGTCGTGCACTACCACACCCGACAGGGACTTCGACAAGGACGAGGGAACAGATGGTGTACGTGACTAGGCTCAAAACAAGCAACCGTGAGTTATGTTGCTAAACTGTGCGGTGTCATCCCCATCATCCATTCTGGACGTGACGTCATAGACTAAAAGAAAACGGTTTGGTGTTTTGGATGCACCAGCTTCGGGGTGAGGCCACGTCGTCTTTTTGTTCCCCCACGTTCCTCCTGCGTTGCCTGCTTTCAGTTTCTTGTGTCGCGAGAACGATGCAGCTCCCACCGCCCCTTCCGTCGTAGATCGCGGGAAGAAAGTCAAATTAGTAACCCAACCACCAAGCGGGTTGTCAATCGTTCCTCCGCGTTCGTGTGTGTTGTGCTTGACGTGGTATGCTGGCAAGCGGCTTTCGACTCCAAAACAGTCGTATGACTTCTCTACATCCACATGCTTGTTACTTCCGCTGTGTGGTGCTCCCAAAGCTACGTACTCTCCTCGCCAAGAAAAGCACAGCAGACGCCAGGATCATTATGATGCTTGATCGCGCCTTGTTAGCTCTCTCCTAGGAGTGGCAGCGCTGGTTGCTTCAAGATCCGTTTGGACCATGGGAACGAACGGGTCACAACCATAACAAGAGAGATGAGAGAGGTGCGCACCTTGAAGGTTAACTATTAAAGTTACGTTTCGTATTGACGTTTCGAAATAAACACGGAAGCGGCTTTGGCTGCCAACACGACCAAGATGAGCGCCAACAAAAAAAGTCATCGCCACCACCGAGTGTAGTGACTCTTTGCCCTAACATCGCGACCGATGACACACAAGACTCCTAACAAGATCTCACGCCAAAATGTTTGTAGATGCGGAGCAGCATTGTTAAGGAACCACGCAGAACTGCTTGAAACACAAGCACGCCTGACCGTCCCCCCTGCAATCCGTCTTTCCTACGTTGCTATGGCACCGCCCCCTCCCCCCAAACGCCTCCTGGATAAAACGCAAAAACGCCAGCGTGGTGGCAAGAGGGTTTCCCCATCATGCTGACGCCGCCCTAGTATCTACAACGCGGTATCTTGCGCTCCTCTTGAATTAGTCTATGTTTATAATAGCGTAGAATTACGACTCCCGACAGGGCCTCTTTGCCGTCCAATAGAACAATTTGCAACGGCATTTTTTTGCCTCCACTCCATCCCCTGCTGCTTTCTCTCCCCGTGCGTGACTAATGCCTCGCCACGTGCTATACCACCTCTACCCTCCAAATTTACACAAAGGCAGCAGCTACGTGCACAAAATATCTGCACCATACTTACTAGCCACCGCTAACAGCGTTTCTCACGGCAAGTGTATCATTGCCGTGCCACGGTACGGTCCTGGTGGTAACTCAAAGTGCTCACCGCCTAATCAAACCTACATGTAGCAAAGCAAGCACACCTAGCCCTGAACCTAACCTCACTCACCAACGCAAGCAAAATCTTAACCTCTGGTGTCGCCACGGGAACAAAGCTGAGCAGCGGCGAAGTGGCAAATTTCGTACGCTAGCTAGTCTGGACCGGAATATGTAGCCAAAAAAGAACATTGCCGTGCCAACACAAACGGCCAGAAGATTCCTCAACAGCTCCCCCCCCTACTTCCCCAGCAGCCCCACCATGCGAGCCGTTTTCGCGTCAAAAGGTGAGGGGAGGCACCGCAAGAGGAAAGGCGAAGAAAAAAAACGTTATCCTTCCTCGTATGTGTGACCCCCATCTGGTGCATCAAACATATACCGAAGGTGACTGCCGTCAGAACAGAATAGATTGGGCGAACACAACAAGAGCAACAGTAACATCTGGGCGGAGTCAATTCTTTCCAAGGGTCACGCCACAGAGGAGTGTCCCTACTACACGTGTATCCATTCTAACGCGCATCCCCCCCTGGTCTAACCGCAAGGGCACGCAAAACAACATGAGTACGGCCCCCTCCCCTAGTACCCCCACCCACCCTTGTTCCATTTTGATCTCCAGATCCATGTACACACCCCATCGTTATGTAGGCCGGTCGATAAATACCGTCAACGATACCCTCATGCCCCGCACTAACCCTAACCTTTTGCGCCCGAAAACCTCTCCCGTCTCATACATTAACTTATCCGCCCCAGCACGAGCGTACCCTTCCGCATGTGTAACTAAATACCGCCTCACCCGCGGCTCTTCTTGCTTCGTGCAACTTCGTGCAATGCCACCGTCAAACACCATAGACTAGGGAAGACATGTCTGAGAAACCTTTGGCAATGTGAGAAGGAACGATTGGCCATCGGTGATCGGTCCTGTGGGAACAATGCTCGGTCCTCTCGAGGACGCGTGGTCAATGATCTAACCGCTAAGGCATGCAAAACGTAAGAGTACGCCCCCCCCACCCCTAGGCGTTTCAACAAGAAGCACTAGACAGGCCCTCACCAAAGACAACGACAATTGACAACGACATTTGAGATGCAAAGGTCGCTGAACACAAGGCAGCAGTGCCAACAACCAAGCACATGAACGTATCAATAAAACAAAAAAAAGAACGTTCGTAGCGTTCCGATCGACAAAATACAAATTCGTGCCTCCATGCAGAGTTATGACACTCCGCGAGGAGACAGTGCTGCACGGCTGTGCTCATAGGGCTGTCTTACCTCACGTACAACAAACTGCCATCTCGCTAAAACACTTGATTGAAAGCGGGAGTGAGTCGCCATGGCGCCCTTGCGGTACCTCGCTGCACACCACGCTGCCTAGCCCTATCCTATCCCAACTACAAGCACATCGTAGAACTATACATGTGCGCACTTCAACAGAATTTCTGCCAATTTCCCTGCCAACGCTTCTTCGGTCTGAACCCCTGCGTCGCTTTCGAACCAAACCATAAGGTGAAAGATGCAGGAGCCAAATAAGCGATCGCGCTATTCCAACGCGATCAAACGATCGATTGCATCCATCCCGAACTTCCCGCCAAAACCTCTCCAAGCGACCACGTATCTCTGCTCACAAGCAAAGCAGGACGTGGACGTCTAGACGTGCGCCTACCTTCTCCAGGCATGATCTGTCGATAACCCTTGCGAGCCTTACCTACGTCTTCAGAATTGCTTCATGTTCCCCGGGTAGGAGGGACACACACACAGACAGTCACGACCACCCCAGCACTCCGCTCCCCTGGGTCATTGTTGTTATTGTTGTCGTCATATAAAAAACCGTTCCGATCTCTCTCTACCCAGTACCTTCGTATGTCCGTACTGATACAACACTCGACGCGGTCGATTCCCGTGGTCGGAGGCTAACTTACCCTTAAAAGGTACACTCAAATAAAATGGCCCCGAGGGGTCCGCAAGTCAATAAAAATCAACGCCAGATGTTCTGGAGTCCTCCACGCCCTCTGCGCGCTATGCGAGGTAACAACTGAGACTAGGATTCACCATCACGGGCCGGAGAGAATGAGGTACACACCCTTGGTTCAATCTTGGTACTTCACAACGCAAGCAGAGACAAGGCCATCTGGCACAGAAAAAGAGAGAAAAAGAGAACAAGAGAAAAAGAGAAGAAAATAAAAGGAAACAGTAAGGAAAGAGAAAATGAAATAAAAAGAGCGAGGACAAAAAGGGACCAGGCCGAAAATAACAAGAAATAAGAGGATCATGGTCGCGGGCGGAGAGTTCACATAGCATGCTCCTGTATACCCTTGGCTGGTTCGCTGCTACGCAGGACAGACCTTTGCACCCAGACGAATGATTCCTATTCCTTGTGCCCATCACAAAGCACACTATCTCCCGTTCATTTCTCTCTCTGAGCATGCTGGAGACGTTCCAATTCCTTCTGTCCATCACAAAGCACATCATATCTTGTTCACTTCTCTCTCTCTCGTTCTCTCTCTCTGTCTCTCTCGTCCTCTCTCTCTCTGTCCCTCTGTCTCTCTGTCTCCCTCTCTCTCGCTTTCTCTCTCGGACGGTCAGCTTGCTGGAGATGGTTCCGATCCCTTGTGCCCATCACAACGCACACCATTTCTCAATCATTTCTCTCGCTCGCTCGCTCAGACGCTGAGCTTGCGGGAGAGGGGACGCACGTACAGATCGCCGATGTAGCAAGGGTCGCAGCTCTTGCACTTCTTGGAGTTGAAGATAGCCGCTCCACTGTCGGGGTCGATGCAAAAGCGGACCCCTAGGTCACACGGGTGTAGCTATTGATAGACCACCAGTAATCGCGTCGTTTTTGAAAAGGGAGCAGGCAGCAGTCCGGGGGGCACGCAGAGGAGCGTGGGTGGGTACGCAGGGTTGTGAGAACGACACTTCATGAGAAAATAACTCTGTGGGATTCTTCTAAGACAAATACCGCGTCCACTTCGATGCACTTCATTCGCCCCCCCTCGAGGCGCTTGGGCATGCTCCAGCACAGCAAAGCAAAGCAAAAATAAGCCGTTGGGCGTTGAGCAGGCACCTCAACCACTGCTGGACCAGGCTGCATGAGATTTCGCAACCACTGGGCCGATTTTCGGAGCTCGACCACGCTGCAGCCGCAACCGCAGCGGCAGCAGTGCCCAAAATGGCGGAGTTGGAACCACCCCGTGGAGAGCATTCCGAAACATCATCGTGTGATTGTAGCAGCCTCTTCGTCGTGGAGCAATAGAGATTTGAATTCGGTCAACAGCACGTACATAGTATCATATGCAGCCTAGACTAGACACAGCTGGGGACACGAAGCAAGGCTGCAATCTTGACTCTTTTTGTACCTTTTCATCCAGGAAACTGCATCGACCTTATGGCTACCTCCCAGCAGGCAATTAAGCCCATGCCCCGACCCCGTGCACGATAGTCTTGCCAAGTCTGGCATGCAGTTGAACATCCGGAGGGACCGCCTTCGTCCCTCCCCCCCCCCCCACTGTATTCCGCACCATTCTGCGTCGCCACTCACGGTGACAGCCCCCCCCGGCACTTTCGGAATTCCATCCAAGATATCAACCATCAATCACCGGCTCAAAGGCGGTTCAACGCACTCAAAACCACCAAGATTGGCTGACCCATGGAAAACACAAAAGCAGCGAGCGAGCCACTACATGGAGCATGCAAAGCAACGGGCGACTGTAAGGAACATCCAAAAGCGACCGCAAGGAGCATCAAGAGCCATCGAGGGCTGAAAGGAGCACTCAAAAGCAGCGAGCGACTGCAAGGAGCACCCAAAGCGACTGCAAGGAGCATCAAGAGCAGCGAGCGACTGCAAGGGGCACTCAAAGCGGCGAGCGACTGCAAGGAGCATGAAAAGTGACTGCAAGGAGCATGGAAAGCGACTGCAAGGAGCATGCAATAGCAGCGAAGCGACCGGCGGGTTCTCTTACCAGGGTGAGAGCGTCCCACTCCTCCGGCGTTACCACTTCGCACACGCAGCCGCTGCGGTCAGGGTCCAAGCCCCCAAGCAGAGCACGCCTCTCTCCAGATAAGAACTCCTCCACGTGGGGGGGTGCGAGCAAGAGACCGTGCCCCTCGCACAGTAAGAGGGCGGTGTCCAGGGTGCGCGGGCTGGGGGCCCGGGGATCCCGCACGTAGGCACGCCAACTGAACGTTTCGGCGTGTCAACACAAGGCGAAAAAACGAATAAATAAGGACTCAGTCTGCCAAATGGTTGTTCCGGTCACACGGCAGTGCAAACAACAGAACAAAAAACGATTCGGTGGCAGGCCAACTGGATGTCTTGGTGTGTCCACACAAGGCGAACAACATGAACAAACAAGGAATCAGTCTGCCAAATGAGTGTTCCGGTAACACAGCAGTGCAAACAACAGAACAAAAAACGATTCGGCAGCAGGCCAACTGGATGTCTTGGCGTGTCAACACACTTGAGAAGGGAAAAAAATCGTTGTGCCAAATGCTTGTTTGTTTCGGTGGCAGCGGTGCGATAAAGAAAAAAATGACATCAGTACGCCAACTGGAGGTTTTGGTGTGTCAAAAAAAAAAAAAGATCGGCCTGCCAAAAGGTTGATTGATTCGGCAGCAGGCAAAATTGGGTGTATTGGTGTGTCCACACAAAGCGAAAAAACAATGGTTGATCGGCCTGCCAAACGGTTGTTTGTTTCGGTGTGTCAAAAAAAAAAAACGTAGATCGCATGAGGTTCGACGTTTCGCTTGTACATGCGGCAGAGCTACACGCCGGCGGCAGACACGTTCAAGCAGTACTCTCAGCGCTCACTGTTGTAGATGATAATACTACACCCCTTTTCTTTCCATCGGGATACTGTTTTTCTTTGTCTCGAGAGGGTGTAGTCAGCTTTCGATGATTGCATGTCTTGTCTTCCAACAGGACAAGAGCACCCTTGCTGTGTGACTATTTTCTACTATTGAGTAAGTAATAACGGAAGCGAGAGAGTGTGTGTGCGTGTTAAAGAATGGGACCGGCAAAACGGGACGCTATATTAGAGTGATTTCCCGCCCTCGCCCGTGGCGCGAGAGCACTCTTGTGTGGCCTCTGCTACCCACCGCCACAATGCCACAATAAAACCAACAACAAGACTTCTCCCGTGACGGCACCGATCACGGCACCACTTTACCACAGAGGAGACCCTTGTATGCAAGAGCACAGCTTCGCCACTTAACTATCCCCTGCTCCCCCGCCGCCACAACAGCACCCAACTCACGCGTTCAGCCAGTAGCGGGGCAGAAGGTGGTATATCCCGGGCAGCAGCGGGCATGCGGGTCGGGCAGCCGACGGGGGCCCCGCAGAGTACCCGGGGGAACCCCGGGGCGCCGACAAGGCAGCGGATGGCACCTGCTCCCCGGGCGGCGGGAGAACGAGGAACACGGGCCGCAAGCGAGGGAAGCATGGCTTTTTCGATCGGCGCGTCGTCAAAATCAACACGTTGCATTGTACCCGGGATTTTTTTCTCCTTTAGTTGGCGATCTCTGTGTGTGTGTGTGTGTGTGTGTGTGTTTTCGTCCTATTTACTATGGCGACAGTTCCCCCATTTTCCGTGGTGAGACGTGTGCTACACTTGTCATTTATTTTTTCTTACAACTACAACCATCAGGATCACACAAGAGGGGGTGAACACCGGGGCTTTTCTCTTCTTTCTATGATGTTTTCGTGCCCCACCTTCCTCCTGCAACGTCTGTCGAGGACGATTCCCGCTTTTCACATTATGGTCCCTTTGGGTACGTACGTGTGGTACAGCAGCAGCACGGACCGCAATATTCTATTCACTATTGGCGTGTCGAGAGATCCCCCCGCAAACACGCTGCACCGCTGTAGCATCACACGAAACGAGACAAAGGTAGCAACAACAACACTCCATGATGATGGCCACGACGACGACGACGAGAAAGTTCAGCAACAACAATAAAATTTGGAACACGAAGTCATGCGCAACAATGACATTTGGAACATCAAACAACAACAAAGAAACAGAAGCAGCGGAATCACGAACGGTACACATCTGCAACAACAACCACCAGATTTGGAACATTTGGACTTCAATAACAATAAAAACAGCAACAAAAGCAACTGTTGGAAGACTGAACAGCAACATTCGCACAAAAGCAACAACAGAGGAGCAGCAGCAGCAGCAGCAGCAGCAGCAGCAGCAGCAGCAGCAGAAACGCAATTACGACAGCCCTTACCCCCGTCTTCCGGCCGTACAGCGCCCTGAGAACGGGCAGCGCGATCTCCTGCTCCCTCTGGCTCTTGACGGCCTCCTCTGCCTTGCGCTCGTTGGCGCACAACCCCCGGCACTCCAAGCACTCGACGCTCTCCGCGCGGAACGGTACCGCTGCTGGGAAGAATAAAACCAGCTCCCGCCACACGCGCTTGTCTACTACCTGGCGCTGCAAGGACAAGGATCGGGGGGGGGGGGGATG